GTATTTCATGTGCACATTACAACCATCTAGTATGATATTAGTAGCATATTACTCCCTTGAGAGTTTGGTTGCACAAAGTTCTTTTTAATCATTTTACAAAATGATATTTTTTTAATATTTTTTATAAAATGTCAAAATAATGACGCTTTAGTCTAACTCTATTTTAAATACGTCGGTAGAATCTATTTACATAAATTTGATACATTATCAGTCTTTTTCGCACCATTGCGATATGCAGTGTAAGCCGCGGTGGTAGCTTATTGTTACGGGGTTGGGACCTTGACAAGCCCCCTGACAGCCATGGGATACTGTCAGCGTGCACTGGGGGTGCCCAGTGGCATTTTCGTAAATATGGCGAAAAAGTGAAGCTTAGAGTTTTGACTCGGGATCTTTATGGAAGGTACCTTGAGTCTATAGAAGATGGTTGGCGCAGACAGCACTCGATTTGGATTTCGTGCACTTTGAGACATTTATATGTGGGTGCAGATTAGTGGGCTTGGCACGGGCTAAGTTCACAAGGTTGGCTCAGATGTTGCTTAAAGCATGGACCACACAAGTCATGGACGTGTGGCATAGTCAAGTTAGGGACATGGGCACAAGGCAATGGGCGTAGGCAAGGCTCAGCGTGCAAGGTTGGCTCAGGGGACTCAAACATGGCTTATGGTTACAGAAGATGGCTAAGTGGGCTCAGGTGGTTGGGGGAAGTTATACTTCCCACTAAGTAGGCTTAGTTGGTTGGAGGAAGTTACACTTCCCATTAAGTGGGCTTAGTTGGTTGGGAAAAGTTACATTTCCCACTAAGTGGGCTTAATTGATTGGGGGGAAGTTACTAACACTTCCTACTAAGTGGGCTCAATTGGTTAGGGGAAGTTACACTTCCCACTAAGTGGGCTCAGTTGGTTAGGGGAAGTTACTAGCACTTCCCACTCATGTGGGGAGTGGGGGTATGCTGAATAACTTCCCATCCATGTGGTACAGATTTGAGAGGACAACACACAGGTGGTTGGAGGTGGTTTCTTCCACTATGCTGAGTGCAACTTTCTGTGGACACGTGGCATGAGCAGAGCATGCCAACAAGCTAGTAGTTGTGCTTATCAACTACATATGTAGTGTTGGCACACTTAGTGGGTGTCAACATGACCCTAGGTGGATGGGGGTGTCATCCACCACTTTAGTGGGTAGTTGTGGATGGATGGGGTGTCATCCACCACTTTAGTGGGCGGTTTTGAGAGTTTGCCTATATATTGCTAATGTGGGTTCTGTAGAGAGAGCAGATTGAGAGTGAGACACAGAGTTGTGTTGTGAGAGACTCTTGTATGCTTCTGCAAGTTGAGGCCTTTCCTTGTACTGTTTTTTGAATAATAGTAAAAGGTTGGAAGCCTTGTGCTTCTGCAAATTCGTGGGTGTTATTGCCTTTACATTCTTGCAACTATACTTGTGTGTGAGAGTGTTTTACTTATTGTGTGTTCTAGGCAGCAAGTGTGAGTTGGCTAAGCTAAGTTAGAAATTTAGAGAAAAGTGTTTCATATTTCTGGCTTAGTGCCATCACAGGCCACTAGATTCATGTTCAAAATTTACCCCTGTGACACTTATAATGTATTACATAGCCGATTTCAAATGCGTGGAATCTTTTTGTGCATTGGATTGGACCTTATGCTTCCACTTTCTTTGATCTTATAAAATACTTTGTATCACAAATTTTAAAGAAGTTATATTAAAGTATTTACAAGAAGTGTAAATTACCTTTACCTTCTCTATAGTTAGAGTTTATTACACATATTTTTCTTATGTTTCGAATAATTACTGTTACATTAGTTTTCTTCTAATCAAATGTGTGTGACAAATTGACTAGTGTCTTGAATTTTATTAACGATTAGAGATGGTCAATGCCTGATGTGACAAGTTTTTTAGCTTTATAAGATAAATATGTCCTTCAAATTGTTGTGAAAACACTTTTGTCCAATTCTTGTTATGCAAAAAAATAATTTTACCCATACCTAAAGAAAACTAAATTAACGGAAATGTTGTGATTGACGAATATAATTATCTTTTTGTACAATAAGTATTGAATAAAAGTGTCTTCACATCAATTTAAAATATATACTCGTCTTATAAAGCTAAAAACTTGACTATTTATTATTATTAGTGAAATTAACGGTAGGAATCCATTTGTCACACACGAGGTAATAATAAATAATGTTATTATTCCTACAAACATATATACGAAGAACGCTAATGAATAGAGATAAGGTAGGATGTTGAGCATAAGGACTGAGAGCATCTTTAATGGGCTCTTCGAATTTAGGCTCTCCGAATTTGTCACATTAGCATTTTTCAATAACCACGTTAGCATTTCCCATAACCACGTCAGCGTTTTACAGTATCCAAATTTTAGCTATCGCATGTACTCTAATGGTGCATTTTCGCTCTCCAAAAATATTAATATTTTATTTTTTTAAAATTTTTAATAAAAATTATTTTTAACTTTTTCCTAACAGCTATATTTTTCATCTTATATAAACAACCATTTGTTTATTTCATTATCATTACATTCATCTCAACTTATTTTAGTAAAATATCAATTCACATCTCTTTTAATCTCAAAATTCCAGTGGCTTCCTCATCACGATTTTTTCCTTTGTCAGGTTCTAATTCTTCATCTTCTTCATCATCCTTTTCATCATATTACTCTATTGACGCGATGGTTCAACATAATCAAGACGCCTTTCGTTCGATTTTGAATTCAGTGAACCTAGAAATAGTGGAACAAGTTTTTAAACCGCGTAAGAGGCGGTACATTCATCGTGATTGAGAGGGAAGCCACCATCAACTAATGAAAGACTACTTTGACGAGAATTGCACATATCCACCGGAGTACTTTCACAAACAATTCAGGATACGACGAGAACTATATCTTCGTATCCTGAATGATGTTAAAGCTTATGACGATTACTTCATCCAAAAAAGGAATGCAACAGGTCATTTGGGGTTGTCTTCTATACAAAAGATGACAACTGCAATACGTATACTCGCATATAGTTGTGCAGTCGATCATTGTGACGAGTATATTAAAATCGACGAGAGCACTACCATTGAAACCCTGATGACATTTTGTAAAGTTGTTATTGGTGTGTATGGGGAAGAGTATATGCACCCACCCAATGAAGCTGACATAACATGACTACTTCAAGAAGGAGAAGGGGGAGGATTCTCGGATATGCTTGGTTCTATAGACTGTATGCACTGGGAGTGAAAGAATTGTCCAGTAGCGTGGCATGGCACGCACAAAGAATGCTCTTATACGCTTACGCTCATATTGGAGGCTGTTGCCTCAAAAGATTTGTGGATCTGGCATGCATTCTTTGGAATGTCGGGTTCACACAATGATATTAATGTGCTGGATCATTCTCTGGTATTCGACAGTATCGTTACTGGCCAAATTCCTCTGGTTAATTTCATTGTGAATGGCAATTACCATAGAATGAGGTATTATCTATCTGATGGTATATACCCTAAGTGAGCAACTCTAATATAGACCATCCCACACCCAACTACAGCAAAAGAAAAACTTTTTGCTCAGAGAAAAGAGGCCTGTAGGAAAGATGTGGAACCAGCTTTTGGGGTCTTGCAGAGCAAATGGGCAATAGCGCAAGGACAAGTGTGTTTTTGGGATAAAAGGGACTTGTGCCTTATAATGAAAACGTGCATCATCATTCACAACATGATCATTGAAGATGAGCGCCATGCTAATGTTGAATGATGCACTCCGCCATCGAAGGAGACAATCTAGATTCTCACTTTAATTCAAAATTCATCAGTGTTAGCGTTACACGTCTACTCTCGCCAAGTCCAAATTTGCAATAAAGGGACAAATACGCGGTTGAGGAAAGATTTAATTGAAAATTTATGGAATCGCTTTGGTGAAGAACGTGTTTAACTTATGTTGCATTATTTTATTTTTAAATTTTTATGAATTTTATGTAATGGAATATTTATTGTGTAATATTTTATTTTAAAATAAATAATTAAATTGTTTGTTGATTAAATTATTTAGCCAATATGTATGAAATTTTGTAAACAATTCAATATCTAATATCATTTGATTTATTAATTTATAATGAAAACATTGACACATTTTTTTTTATAATAAAATATCATATTTTAAAATAAATTTCAATTTGTTAGGGAAAACAAATTAAAAAAAAAATTGTTTGGTTAGCCAATATAACCATTAAGGCACTGTTTGAGTCAACCAAATAGTACCTAAAATGGTTATAATGTCAACAGGAACATTAAAAAATTTTGAAAAGGAAATAAAATCACTTTATTTCAATTTTTTAAAACCTTTTTTCGTCCAAAAAAGCCTTTATTTGGTTTAATTATTTTGAAGAAAAAAGAGAGAGACCAAAATAAGCCAAAAATATAATTTTTAGCTTTTATTTCAACCAAACATGTCCTTAGGAATAGTATTCTGGGCTGGTACAGTGTTCTGGACCTGAATTAAAAAAATAAAAGAAAATAGAAACGAGCCCACAGAATTGAGCCCAATCGCCTTCAGGGTCACCTTTTTTGTCGACCTGTTTGGCGACCCAAAATTTGTGGCCCAAAAAATCGATAGGCCAATGGAACAACCAGTCTCCAATTTTTGGTCCAAAATTGCCATAAGCAGCACCAATGGAGCTGCACTGATACAAACACTCCTCCATTTATATATTTTATTTTTAAGAAAATATTACTCTAAAACGGGTATTAAAATATGAGAATTTTTAATTTTTTTTGTTTGGAACTTTAATAAATACTGCAGTAATTCAACGAAAACTATAAATTGGATAATTTTTTAAATTATTTTCCCTCAAACTTTATTTTCCGTACTATTTGACTTGGTAAACCCACTCTCTCTCTCTGGAATGTGGATCGACACAAATCGTAAGCACTACGTCACTCAAGTCAAAAAAAGGACCCACAGCCCGCCCTCGCACGTAATTTTAGTAGCAGTGAGTTTTGATTTCAACAAAGACCGACGCGCATTGAAACCTTCTACGTCTCCTCCCTGTCGTCGTCGTCGCCATCGTCGTCTTCCAATCCCAAAATTTCAGCTTCTTCTAGAGAGAGAAAGTAGAAAGAGAGCAATATATCCACACGGACTATCTTCGCCATCTCTTTGTCGCGCAAATCATGGCGTAATCTTCTTTAACCCTGTCTGTCCCCTCCTCCCTCCCCAGTTCCTTTCTTATTATTCTCTTGTCATTTCAAATCCCCATCCCTTACAATTATATATATACAGAGAGAAAGTGAAAAGATTGTAGTGTTTCAGCTTATATTTTCAATCTTCAATTTTAGAGAGAGCGAGTCGAGAAATAAAGTAACATTGGTTTTGGGTTTGAGGAGCTGAAATCTTTGGGAGATTCATGTTATCAGTTCATACACGAGCTTGAACTTCGAATCCGTTACAGTACTGAAGCCGAATTGGTCTTTGGTTTTTAGGGTTTGCGGAGCAAAGAAAAGGGTATGCTTCTTTACTCATATTGATTTCATTTCTAGGGTTTCAATTTGGTGCTTTACATGACCTTGATGCGATCAATTTTTTGATCCCCTTGGTGTTTAAGAATCAATTTTGAGTTAGGGTTGTCGCTTTTGAGCTTTCGAATACTTTAATTTTGTCTTATTTGAGAAAAATTTGGGATTGCTTTGTTGGGGCTAAGTTAAGTTGATGTTATTGGAATGGATAACTCGAATTATTCAAGGAATAGGCAGAATGATAACTTGGGTGTGAACAAGATTGGAAAAAATATAAGGAAGGACTCATTTCACCAACCCAATTTTGCTAATACCACCACTAGGCAACAACCTCAACCTCAGATTTACAATATTAATAAGAATGATTTTAGGAATGTTGTTCAGCAGCTGACAGGTTCGCCGTCACATGAACCTTTGCCTAGACCTCCATACAACCCGCCTAAACCACCTAGTTTGCGGTTGCAGAGGATCCGTCCTCCCCCTTTAACACCCTTAAACAGACCACAAATTCCCATTCATCCTCCACCTCCAGCTCAGGCTCCACCTCCTCCCACAGCAGTTGTTCCGTACAACAATGCCTTTCCTAGACCTGCCCAATTTGGCCCACCATCACCCACAATGTTGCGACCACCCGGTGATTCAGTTTGGGCAAATACACCTGGTGAATCTCCTATCTCGGCTTACATGCGATACCTTCAAAATTCAATTCTGAATTCAGGTTCAAGACAATCCCAGGATCAACATCAGCCACAACCTCAAGTTCCAGGTCATTTTCATGCTCAACAGCCGTCACCTGGTTTACTTCCTAACCCAGGTGTGCCTCCTCTCCCTTCTCCGCGAATGAATGGTCCTCCTTCCCTTTTACCCTCTCCTACTTCTCAGTTCCTTTTGCCATCGCCTAGTGGTTTCTTGAATTTGTTCTCTCCGCGGTCACCTAATCCAATACATTCTCCCAGGTATCAGTTTCCTCCACCATTCACACCAAATTTTTCATTTTCTCCCATGGCTCAGTCAGGGATTTTGGGTCCTGGGCCTCAACCTCCTCCTTCTCCTGGCACTGCATTTCCATTATCTCCTTCGTTTTTCTCCTTTCCAAGCCCAAGATGGAGGGATTAATAGTTGTAGATGGAAAGCTGTTAATCATTTGTGGTATTATTTGCTGGATCCTTTATCTGGAAATTGTCCATGCTGATTCATCTCCTTGCTTAGGAGGTTCACTTGTGAAAATGTAATGAATAATGGCAGTGTAAGATGTCCTCTCAAGAGTAGGTAGTTTTGTTTTTCTTGCTTTTCTTTTGTTGATACTTATACCAAGGCTTGTTTCAAGCTGAGGAATCTGTAATAGCTGTAGTCTGTTTATTTTCTTGGGTAAGTTTTACTTTTGGTGATTTAGTGAGGATTGGTGAACTCGTCCGGGATCTTGGACAAAGCTGTAATGTGAAAGGAGGTAGGGTTATGAACACTGATATTTAATATGTAGTTTTTAGTTCTTGTAATATTGTGGACTCAATTTTTCTTAGTTTGAATTAATTTTTTTTCAATTGATTAGCCCATGGAAGGAATCCTCTTGGTTCCGATTTTATGCTATCATATCATGTTATGTGTAATTAAGGATTGTATTCTTCGGCCATCTCCAATTTTACACAGTATTCACATTGATGGTGTTATATTTATGAATTGCATAGAGAACACTAGGATAGGATTTTTTTTTTTTTAACCCAGGAAGACAATTATTTTTTTGGTAAGAAAATACTATCATAGGATTATGTTACAAAGAAAATTAAAAACTGATAGTAAGGAGTAACTACCAATATACATTTGAGCAGTTGAAGATCAAATAGGGGATTCCTTTTACCTGTATATTTTTGTTTTTTCTTCAACAAGGCTCGGAACTAATGAGAGAGAGAGAGGGAGATACAATGTAGCTTACTCTATTGAATTTTCATAGACTTTCCTTAAATGTTTCTCTCTTCGACCGCATCACTTTCACGATCTTGGGTTTAAATATTTTGTGATCTGGACCTTTGGCGAAGAACCTAGACTGAGAAGCCTTATTTGGTGGGCCTCCAGTCATGGAATGTAAAAGGTTTTGTGTTTTCCAGTATCTTTATCATCTCTACCTACTTGGGATGATGCTTTCTAGGATACATTGATTTGATTTAATTACATCTAACACCAACCATCTTCTCCGAGGACAATCCTCTATGACTACCAGCAATAATTCAAAATGTTTTGGATCTCAATTTTTTGGCAATATGATGATTGTAAGGGCTCGCCATTGGCAGTCATTTTGTGGCTACAGAAAAATTCTATGTTTTTATAAATATGAGATTATGATCATTGTGTTTTGTTCGTGTGTACCTCTTCATTTATAATGCTTAACTGGTGGGGATGAAGGTCCTTGCACATTTGGAATAATGAGAATTATTTTTAGGGAATTTAGTTATGAATATGAAATTACCCTGTTCGTGTTTAAATTATCTTCAAACACATGGTTCTTACGGTCTTACTTTCATGATAACAATTCAATTTGATATGATTCCTCCCTGATAAGAATCACTTGATGAAACCATATAAATGAATATATAAGAATTAATAGGGAATCATAAAATTGCTGTTTGAAAGCGATTTGTGCGATTAGTGGGTTGTCAACCTTGACAGCAAAAATGTTCTTTTCCTCTTTAATGCTACCTGCCCCCTCTTAAATTAAGCTTCCCAAAGCCTTTTTTCTTGTCTCAAGACTCAACAAAGCTAGATACATATATCCTCAATAGCATTTAAAAAGAGGGAAGAGAGACAAATAATAGAATAATGAAACTCTTCCCTCTTTTTTAATGCTATTGAGGATATATGTATCTAGCTTTGTTGAGCCTTGAGACAAGCATCCCAGACCAAACTTTTGATATTGGCAACACAAATACTACTCTTGTATCCGGTCTATTTAGAATCACATTAACAGTTTTAAATAAGGTTTCAAATATGAAAGTTGATTGTTCACAATTGTTCATGAGACCTTTCTGTAAAAAATAATTAAAGAAGATATGAGATACACTGGATATGCTGTTTCAAGAGTTTTCAAACATCTAATTATAAGGATATAGCTGTGCTCTACTCTGTCTTGTTTTTTTTTTGTAATATAGTGAGCCATGTTGGATTACCAAGGCAGAATACACTTTGATATCTTGAACTGTGATCTTCAATGGGGTGGACATGGTATTTTGAGAATGGTTTGCTTAAAAAGCCATTCTTGGTAATCTTTGGTTTTTTGCCTTTTTTTTGTGGTTTTGTTCTCTCTCTCTCTTCACTGACCAGGTTTTGATGCATTTGGCATTCCATGATAATTATTTTTTTTTTCTCCACTTTTCCAAGCTTTAAAAAATTTGTTGAATTAGTCTAATTCATTAGTTTACTGTTGGTTCAGCTGTAAGCATTAGTGTCATACAACGTATTAGTCGTTGATGGAAGCTTTGGCTTGTGTCCTGCCATTTTTTTTTGTATGAAAAGGTTACATTTTTTAGGTTGATAATAAATTATACAAAGAGATTCTTGAGTCACCTATGGTATACTTGGAAGAGGTCTTTGCAGGTCTAGAGATTTATTCATTCTTGGAAATTTAACAGAGACATAAATTATTGGGGGCCTACTGGGGATAACAGGCAATGGGGTTGTTTTGGATGAGAGTGAGAAATTGGGTACTTGTGATTTTATCTCAAAAAAGTTTTTGAGATATTTCATGGCATTTATTGACAACTCAGTGCTTAAATTTTTGGTAACTTTATTTCATTTGGAGAGGCAAGATTTGGTTGCAGATAGCGCCATAAGAGTTGTATGTGGATTGTAATTGTGATGTTAGAATTTTGCTATAGTTTTAAACTTAAACAACTGGAATTACCTGCCGAATTTATTCTAGATTGAATCTGAAACCTAACATGGCACTGATTTGGTAGTTTGAGAGAAGGTCACTGCATGTGCACCTTACTGGTGGGAATATAAAGGGACCAAAAACACTTGACCAAGTCATCTGCAGGTAAAATTTTAAAATTTTTGTGATACATTAACCTTTTTTGTACACGGGACAATACTTGTCTGATTTTGTAGATCTATGTGACATGTACAGATTTAGTAAGGAATAATGGAGGTTAAAGCATTTTGTTAATCTTGCATTGCTGCCATATCTGCAGGTAAAATTTAAAATTTTTTGTGATACATTAACCTTTTTTGTACATAGGACAATACTTGTCTGATTTTTAGATCTACGTGACAAGTAAAGATTTAGTAATGAATAATGGAGGATAAAGCATTGCTGCCATATCCATGGTTTAATAGGGTTATTTGCGGAGCGATTGATTGTGAGACTCTTCAGCTGAGTCTGTCTTCTTTCTTGCAAATGTCCATGATTCTTTCTTTTTCATCGAGAAAATGAATGAACCTCTCCATTTTGGTGCTTATTCACATTTTGAGCAATTTATCATGATTTGCTTTGTGGGAGCTGTTAGTGGAAATTATTCAGAAATGTGAGTGTGAAAAGAAAATCAACAGATCTATTTCAAATTTTGGTGATCGATACAGCTTTCGTTAGCCTTATCCTTGAAAAGCTCTGTGCCCAGTTTAGTCATGAACATTGTTGTTTCATGGCTGTGGATGAAACTATGCTTGTTTTTTTCTTTTCTTTTTTCAGCAACCTTGCTCGTTGACACATGGGGTTGGCTTATTTTCTTCTTATGGTCATTTAGGATTAAGATTTTTTTTTGGATGTTTTGTGTTCAAGTTTTTCAGTTCATTGATTCTGCTGTTGTGTTTTGATTTTGATTGTTTCCTTCTTTTAGTGCTTGGAACAAGCATGTAAAAGTGGCATGCGCGTTAAATTTTGATGCTTAGGTTCATGGGAGGAAGGTGATTGTGATTTTGATTTTCTGGTTGAAACCTCTATAACTATGATTTCAATTTTCTGCTTTTCTTCTTGCTTCGTTCACATCTTTTTCTGTATGCTGCTCTTATTATTTACAGGTGAATGTATGAATTGGTTTCACATATATTAATCTACATCTTGATATTGTTATATTTGTGTGCTTGGCCTTTTTTATGTGCTGAAGGTATGTGAAATTGAGTGATGGTATTGGGTTGATTTTAATTGTGTGTTTCTATTGCTAGTCCACCCGGGGGAGGAGGCACAGTGTGTGTTTGTTTGAGTTTCCATTCACGGAGATGGATTGACAATCCATTGGATTGAGCCAAACATTCTGTTTGGATTGAGAGATTATTTGGGAAAAGAAAGTGCTTTAGTTCACATTCTATTCTGATTGGAAGGAGGGAAATGTAGGAAAAAGAAGGGGAATGGAATTCTTCTAAAATATCAGAGTAATTGAAGGAGGAAGACAAGTGATTAATCATTTTGGGTCTATTATTCTTAATAACAATTAACAAGTGAACTCCTATTTTTCACTCTTATAAAACATTTCTTTATTTTCATAGGAAGATGATTATTATCGTTTCGTTTATTTGTCTACCCTAATTTTCAGTTGGAGAATTTTTTCTTCTCATTTCTCCGACCAATATTATTATCTCCCCTTTTTGTGAGACGTTAAGGTATCAAAACCTACATGAAAACCTACCAATATACCTGGACCTATGTAAACGGATTAAGGTATCAAAACCTACATGAAAACCTACCAATATACCTGGATCTATATAAACGGATTGAATTTGAACTGGATCGGACCTCTGTAAACGGATTGAATTCGAAGTCGATCGGAGTAGATCCATTTTGAAGTCGATAAAGATTTTTTTTTTTATTCGATTCAATTTGATAATATGACGGATAATTTATTAATAATCCGAACTGTTTTTTATTAGCTATTTGATCCTTCAAGGGTATAGCTAATCAAGGAGAAAATGAACACAAAGCCCTTAGCTGGAAAATATGTGTGTGTATATATATATATATACATACATGTTTGGTAAAAAAATTGCATAGAGAGTTGGATGCATAAAGATTTAATATAGAAAGTCCCAAACTGTTCACATCACATCGCATCATTTTGTAAACTAATATTATTTTGATAACTTAATTAAGTTGATTCCGTTGGATTAACACTAGTTTAGTGCTTCAAGTTTGTTAACTTACTGTTTGCTTAGTTGGACTTTTTAAAATCCATACGTGTCCTCTAATTAAAGGCAATTTTTACTACCATATTTACACAGTATATACTTGGGGCCAAAAAATTTAAATTTTTTGGTGGTAATAAAAATAAGAAATTCTAATCTATTAAATTGGATTTGATGTATTCAAACTTTTTAATCATTGAAATGAATAGTTATGAAATATAGAATAAAAAATTTAGTTTTCTAAGACTATACGATGATTTCAAAACATTTAATTTTCTAAGACTATAGGACTTGAAGATCATTTCGTTGTAAAACACAAACCACAGCATCCTCAATTTCAAACAAGCATAAGAAAAAAACCATCCCTTCAAGTCCTTTCTACATTTGGATGAATGAAGCCTTGAAATCGTAGAAAATAAGGCCTTGCAATCGTAGA